TTTATTTTATATATATTTTGTATTTCCAAATTCATTGTATAACATGGATGCATAAACACCTAATTTTATGTCAATGTTAAATTCTGTTTCAAGTAACAGATTATAATTAAAAATGTCTCCAGACCTTAAAGGTTGATGATTTTCTTTATTCGGACCCCGCTGATTTTTAATTGGTTACCCCTGATCTATATTATTTATTCTTTTAGTATTGTTTGTGTTGTTCTTAGCTTTGCTTTTGGACCACAGAGATTATCCAATAGAGGCTGTTTGATTTCAGATGAACTAAGCTTTGTGTTCTCACAGTAAAGTACTGATTACCTCCTTCAAACGTCTATACATCATATTTTATTGGAAGTGTTTTTATTATGGAAACAGCAGATTTCACAGCTTCACTTTTGGCTGGAGTCACAGTGAAGCCTGTGTCTGTTAGAGACACATCATGTTCTAATAAGTCAAGGAAAATCACCAAAAATTCAGATTTTTGTGGGGAAAAGTAGGAAAAGGCAGATTTAAGTGACCTCTTACCTCACAAAAAAAAAGTTTTATTCTTCTAATAAAATCCAGCAGAACATCCGTTGCTATGCCCTAATCCTGAAGGCTTGGATTAAAATGTTTGGAATAAATCTCTGGTCCTGACACTGCAGGTCAGCAGCCAGGCCCCTCTCCAACCGTTACTTTTGGTATTGTTTCTCCCAGTTCTTTTCCTTAATGATCAAAGTCCTGTTTATTCTGAACTGGTTGTTTTCTGATGATGATGCTCGCTGTGGGTCACTGATTCAGAACCAGTCCTCATGTCCTCATTGTTGCTCTGTCTCAGGGACGTCCTGCCCTTCACACTCAGGCTTCCAGAGGCCATCTCTGCTGCCAGGAGTTTTGGGGATCTGGAGAAGGTCGCTAAATTGGGAGCAGGTTTGTTTTTCCTTCCTTTCTGCTAACATTAACCAGATTGGTAAATCTCTTTGTCAGCTTTTTTTTAATAAACATGTAGGTTTTACTGAAGAACGTCTCTGATTGGGTCCAACTTTCTGACCTCCTGCTGTGTTCTGGTTCCATCAGAGTCATTAGAAGTTGGTTCTGGATGTATGGGAAGCAGGTGGTGATTTAAAGTTTGTCTTCTGCAGAATTTCCTCTTTTCACAGCTGCTCAGCTGCAGTGACTCAGCTCTGGGTGTCCGAGGTTCCTGGAGCAAATGGTCTGACCTTCAGACTCGTGAATGAACGAGATTTGTGGAGAAAATGGTCTGACCGTTAGACTCGTGAACGACCAAGTTTCCTGGAGCAAACATACTGACCCTCAGACTCATGAACGACGAGGTTCGTGGAGCAGATAGGCTGAACTTCAGACTTGTGAACGACGAGATTCCTGGAGCAAACAGTCTGACCATCAGACTCGTGAATGTCCGAGGTTCCTGGAGCAAATGGTCTGACCCTCAGATTCGTGAAAGTACGTGGTTCGTGGAGCAGATAGGCTGAACTTCAGACTCGTGAATGAACGAGCAGCCTGTTTGGTGGCCTGGTTCTCAGCCTGGTTATAATAATAATAATAACAATAATAATTTAGCTTTATTGATCTCAACGCAGTGCCTGCAGTTTCCAGCCAATGCAGAGTATGCAGGATTCCTCCATCAGCAGCTTTCTTTCTTCAGCATGCTTCCCTGCAGTTCTTCTGAAAGCCTTTAGATTAAACTGTTGGCATAACAAGAGGGACATGTTGAGAGAGAGAGGCGTCCTGGGGGAGGAGTAGAGAGTGACTGAGGGAGGAGAGGTGGGGCCAGAGGATAGAGTCCCTGCCCTCGCAGTGAGTGAATCATTGCTCTGGCTCAGACAGAAACCAGAACAGTTTCAGCCTGTGGAGACGTAGTAAAGTCCTGTGAACCGCGGGAACTGTCTGTCAACAGCTTGTCTGAGCTTCCGCTCAGGAATCTCTGTAAGTATCATCTTCTGCAGCAGCTCTGGGTCCAGAACCAATGCTTTCCATCTTCTCCTTCTTTCTTCACTGCCTCAAAGGCTGGAGACGCTCCGCTGACTCAGACTGACCTGGCCGTAAACAAGCAGCTCATGGCCTGTTTTATGTTCTGTATGTTATGTATTAGAGGCTCTAAGAGGAACTATAGGACGTTTTTCTTTTGTCCTTTTTATTGGCAGTAGAACGTCCAAGAGTGCAGGTCCATTCCTGGCAGAACCATAAAAGTTGTTGGATTAAAATCATTGTTCTTCCTGCCTTCTGTACCAAAAACTCAAGGGGTTCGGTTCTGTTTTTACAGAAGTCGGATTAACTCTGGACTGGTGTCCAGTCCTGTATAAGTGGATGCTTCTCCTGGACGTCTGGACACTCTGCTACTGTTCTGACTTCCTGCAGTTGTTATGTTTGGGCTCTGATGTTTAACATTCTGGTTCTCCATCATTACATTTCTGCTGATCAGATATCAAACCTTCTACTGGAGCCATGGGGCTGAGGTTCTGTAGAACCACACCAACAGTGTTCATGGACCAGGAGCCTCAGTTCACAATCTGCTAAGCTGCATGGTCAGAACAGGTTCTGAAGCCTGTGGCTCATAGGAACCCAATCAGTGGCTCTTCATCACCTTGACTGATGGTGATATAGAAGTAGCTGCTATTGGATTTTTCATAGATTAAGGACGGTGCTGGGTTATACTCAGCGGCAGCAGCATTTAAAGGGCCGGTAAGCCCAGTGACGTCATACCTTGATCCTACTCTGGGCAGGGTTGAGTTTCTTCAGGACCAGTGAAAGAAACTGGAAGAAAGTCCTGGTAGTAGCTCATATTTAGGAGAACTGGGATAGTTCCACTGTAAAGTTAACTCACTATATCCACCAGGATACATGAGGAGAAACCTTTATGAGAATACACACAGTGACACAAATAAGGAATTTATATGATTTATTAAGTGTATGTAATACAAATCTAGAGGAATGAATAACTACTGGTCGTAAAACTTTCAAAGTAAAAGACCCTTTGGAAAAACCAATCAAGGAATTATACATTTAATACAGAAGTGATAATTTACTAATAGCCTTTAAATGGTAGAAATGGCAAACTTTCTTTGTCTTTGATTTCTTCTGCTCTTCCTGCCCCCAAATCCTCCCTGGTATATCCTGGGTTTGGGTCTGCTTAAAGCTAAATATTCAACAAAAGAAACAAAACATTCCATTAGATTTGGCCTTCAAAGTTTCTTCCGGAAGAAACTGAAAAAAAACATGGAAAAATATCCAGGAGAAACGTCCAACCCTGACTGGGATGTTTAGGAATTGAGGATGTTAATCAACAAGTCCAACAGTTGAGGGGGTCTCCGCCGTTTTCCGGGTCTAACAGAACCTTCGGGTTGAAGTAACCTTTCCTTTCCTTTTGTAGGTTTCTGGGAGAGAAGGGCCACATCAGCAGGTCCTGGTAGACCCTCCCCACCTGCTCAGAGACCTCTCTCCTGCCCATTGTCCCCTTCCGGTCCTCGTCTTCCACTCCGAAGCCCCTCCCAGCTGGACTGTTGGCTGCCTAGCGGAGCGCTGTGCTTCACCAACCCCCTCTTCATCAAGCCGGATGGCGGCGGCCAGATCAGCTCCAGCAAAGGCCCACACCAACCTCTGGTAGATGAAGCCAATGAAGTGAGTCCCTCCAGTGGGGGGGGGGAGGACTCCAACCATCTGACCTGTGACCCCAGCCGTACGGGAAGAGCTGAGAGCAACCAGCAGTTGACCAACTTTTGCTCCCTTCCTCCCGTTCGACCCCCTCCCCCTCGTTTTATCAAACCCCTGCCTGCGCCTCCTGGTGGACGGAACGTAATGCCAGAAAAAGTTTCCTGGATAAACCTTTCCAAGGAGGAGGCGAAGGAGAAGAGCAGCCGCCTCAGCTCCTCGCTGAGCAGCAGCCCGCCGCCCTTGCCGCCTAAGAAGTTCAGCATCAGCTCCCCCATATCCATTCCCCGACGATCCCTCCCCCTGCCCTCCTTCTCCTCCTCTCCCCGTCCGACCAAAGCCTTACCATCTGACATCCGCTGCCACCTGACTCTGGAGGAACAAACCATTAAGAAGTCGGTTCATTCTATGACCCAGAACTCTCATAGTCCATTAGAACCCCCCATGACATCAGGGGGTGGGGTGGCAGAGGGACCACCTGGACAACAAACATCTCAGAGGGAATGTCGTAGTGGGGGCCAACGCCTGAGTGACATTAGCCTCTCAACCGACTCCTCAGACTCCTTGGATTCCTCCCAGTCCTCCACCTTCTTCCTCCCTCCCCTGCATGACCCCAGCCCCCCCACCATCACTGACTTTAACACCCATCTCCCCCTCTCCCTCCCACCGACCCATCTACGCTACAGCAGCATAGATATAGACGACTACGTCGATGACGACGATGATGAAGAAGAATCCGACTTCAGCGTTAGCCTGGAGAGCGACCAGGACTTGAGCATGCTGCCCCCTGGGGGCCAGGCCAAGCGGCGCTCCAACTCTAGTGCCTCTGTCCTGCAGAAAGCCCTGCAGGGGAAACTCCGTAAGATGAGCAGCGTCTTTAACTCACTGCTGACGCCGGAGAAGAGGGCGATCCGCAAGGTTTTAGAGATGTCCAAGGATAAGAGCTCGTACTTCGGCTCCCTGGTGCAAGACTATCTGAGCTACATGAGGGAAGGTGCCGGAGCCCAGGCCTGGCAAGGCTACGCCTCAGGGCTGGAGCTGCTTCAGACAGTTCGCCAGTTCATTACCCAGATGAAGAGCTACCTGCAGCAGAGCTCCGAGATGGAGCCCCCCATCGAGAGCCTCATTCCCGAGGATCAGATTGGTGAGGATTGATTCAAACATTTCCTTTTTCTTATCGTTGCTTTTTCCATTAGTCGTGCTGATTTCACCGCTCAACATAAAGCCTTCGGGAACAGGAAGGACCTTTGCTCACGCTCAGTCCGGCTACTGCTGACATCACATTTCCACACCTTAAGCCTCATTACCTCATCGCTTTCTCCTGAACACTGTGGGAGGAATTTCTGGTCCTCACTGAGATATTGTGTTTGTTCAGGGCAATGATGAATCAGTGCAGATCAGGCAGTTTCACATCTCTATTCTAGGAGCGGAAAGATGATGAGTTGCTGATTAATGGTGTTTTCTGTTGGCAAGTTAAAGCTCTTTGTGGATGTTACTAATCCCATAGACATCAGGGCCAGAACCATCACTGAGCTCTAATGTGTAGCAGCTCCTTTAGAATGACCTGCAGAGGATCTGCCTGCAGCGTGGGGGGTGGGAGGGGTGCTGCGTCAGACTTGGACAAACTAACACGTAAACAGAGAATAAAGGCGGTTCTGTCTAAGGAGAACTGGTTCAGTGTGCCGCACTTATGAATGAGCTTCTTTCTACTAAACTGCCTCACAGCTTCAGGACTCATGTTGTTGAATGTGTGCTTGGTGTCAGACCGACCGAAACATGACAGCGAGCTGCCTTAAAATGTGCTCCTTTAAAAAGCTGTGTAACCATCCATTGGTTGTGTTATATCTGATTTTATTTCGGCCGTCCTGCTGCTGCTCATAGAGCAGCTTCTGTTGGGCTCAGAGCCAGGCCGGTTCAGATGCATCAGGGCGACTTTGCTGCCAAGTTCAACAGTCTGACTAAACCGGCTCTTTCATAGCAGCTGTCCAATTAAAGGCAGAGGATCAGCGGCACACCCCTGCAGTATTTTGCCTCTAATGCGGGGTTACGGTTAAAGATGCTCTGATCAGGATTTTGGGATCCGATTACCTATGACCAAAATTCTATCTGCCAAATCTGATATCGGTGATTACTAATAACAGCATCAGAACCATAAATTCTTCAATACTGTTGTCTCATTCTAATAGACAAAGGCCTCTTTCACCTTTTACAGCTGCCTTTTGTTTCTCTGCTTCTGTCTTCTTTAACACCAGTCAGCCTCAGCAGATGGCCGCTCACACTGAGCCTGGTTCTGCTGAAGGTTTCTTCCTGTTCAAAGGGAGTTTTTCCTCTCCACTGTCGCTAGAAGCATGCTTAGTGTGAGGGACTGCATTCGAGTCAAAGAGTCGATGCAATCAGCTGGTTTTCTTTAGATAGAAAACTTTGAATCAATCTGACTGGATGATCTGGTAAAGTGCCTTGAGATGACATGTGTTGTGAATGGGCGCTATTGAAATAAACTGAATTGAATTGAATTAAGGACAGAGCCAAATGGCCTCGTACCTTTTTCTGTTGTTGGGAAACAGGCTGCTCTCTCTTTAGGGTCAATTAGGGCAACAAACCTGTTTTTAGGGAAATCCAAATATTCTGAGTCCGTCCTTCCTCATTCTTTGTTTTTCTTACTAGCTTTTTGCACCTGTTGTTACTTGGAGTAAAAGACTTGTTTCTATGAAGTCTCAGGTTTAGTCATCTTAGATGTGGCGTTTGCCCTGTTAGGCGTCTTGTCAGATCTAGGTTACGGTAAATTGTTTGTGTTTTGGCTTTGCTCCAAGAGTTTCTCAGCAAGAGCTATCGGTCTGGTTATCATTTGAATCAGCACCTTGTTTCTTGGTTGTGTTGTTTTTTTTGCTCCAACATGTTACTTTTTATCTGCTGGGTCCACACTGGCAGGGTCGTATAATTTTCACAAGCAGAATTTACCTTCTCATTCACTTCTAGTCTGTTAATTTCCATTTCTATGAAAGCTATTTACTTTGCAAACTTGCCCATGTCCTGACTGGTGAAGGGAGGCATTTATTGAGCATTACATCAAGATGTACATTACTACTAACATATTTAACCTCTTAATATCCACCTCATATCTGGGAAATTCGCCTATTTTGCACAAACGATAGCCGCAGTGCTAACATGTTTACAGGCACAAACGATAGCCGCAGTGCTAACATGTTTACAGGCACAAACGATAGCCGCAGTGCTAACATGTTTACAGGCACAAAC